AAAAAAAAAAAAAAAAAACACATCTTAGTAAAACCAATACCTTCTCAGCTTCGCATCGAAGCTAAAATATTAGCTACATAACAAATTGAAAAATAAATATTACTAAACAAAGAAAAAAATTCTTAAAACTATTACCATTTTAGGAGAAATCTAGTGGTAAAGAATAAATCATTCATCCTATAGTAGTAGTGATTTAATTATAATTTTCTGACAAAGCAATGAAATGATTAATATACTAAATATAAGTAGAGTCAAGTTTAAACATGTGGGAGTCTATTCTATAGCAGGACAAGAAAGATTACACAAATTGTCATTTAGCAATGTCTTCATGTACATTCTTGTCAATTTTAATTAAGATTTAAATGAATCAATTTTGACAAAAATATTGTTACATTTATATAAGCTGTACAAAAATTAAGAAAAAAGGTTTCTATTGTTTCCATTGTTCTTAACAATTTACGTGTTCATTTATTGAACACCAGTATATTTTAATATTTTTAAATACAATTTTTATATAGGTAGAATTTTAACATTATAGAATTAATTAAAGTATATTATAGCTATATTTGAAATTATATAATTATCTATATATATAATAATTATCCTAATGACTTTAAGAATTTGTTTAAATCAATGGTGGCCGTATAATTGATTCTGAATTAAATATCAATTATTATTTTAGATTTCGACAAAGGGAATGTAATGTGTTAATTGGAACTGAAATATTAGAAGAAGGAATTGATTTACCTCGTTGTAATTTAGTAATTAGCTATCATTCACCAAAATCTTACAGATCTTATTTAAAATTAAAAAGTAGAGCGAAAACTTTAGATGCTTTCTATTTTCAATTGTTTGATGAAAAAGCTACATCTGACATATTATCTCGCTTAAGACTTTACAAAAATATTGATCAAGTAATATTTATGTTATTAAATATCTTTAAAAATGTATATATACAATTTAAATAGAAAGAAAATATTAATTTATTTGTAAATTTATGTCATGATTTTGTATTAAATATTTTTTTAGATGTTACTAAATAACTGTGGTTTAAAAGACACGGATGAAACTATTGAAAATACAGCTGATCAATATAATTGGTGTGTAGCTCCTTTTAAACCTAGTAAAAAAGAAGATGGAGCATTTGTTGATATGGGAACAGCAATAGGCCTTGTGAATCGGTATTTTGAAATAGTATTATAATGAAGTTTCATAGGTTATCATTTCTGGTAACAATTTTAATTATTTAATGTTAAACTAATTTTTTTTTTATAGATATTGCGCAAAACTACCTAGTGATACATTTACTAAATTATCTCCCATTTGGAAAATAATAAACATAATTTATGAAAGTCAACCAATGTATATTTGTGTGATTCAACTTCCAATTAATTCTCCTATTAAACATGATATTTATGTAAGTATCATTCTATAAATCATATTGGTTTAAAATATTAATATTGTTATTTGTTTGACAAGAATAGTAATTATTAGATTTTTTGTTTAAAGGGTCATCCTATGCCTAGCGAAATCTTAGCTAAAAGAGTAGCTGCTTTAGAAGTTTGCCGACAGCTACACCTCAAAGGTGAGCTAGATGATTCTCTTCAGCCAATAACCAAAGAATCATTTCATGCTTTGTTTAATGCTGATGAAGTACCACCAGATGCTGAAGATGCATTAATCCCATGGGATACTGAAGAACCTCGACCAGGAACAAATAAACGTCGACAATACTATTTTAAAAGAGTGAGAAATAGCTTTTATTTATTATTTGTAGGGATATTTTTTGATTAAATTTTTATTTAGATAGCTCAAGTACTAAATGATTGTAGACCAATAGAGGGTAAACCTTGTTACTTTTATGCTATTTTATTACAAATGAATTGTCCAGTACCAGAAGAACAAAATACAAGAGGCCGAAAAATTCACCCACCAGAAGAATCAATTTTTGGATTTGGAATTCTCACATTAAAACAAATTCCAAGTGTATGTTTAAATTAAAAGATAACTAAAGCTATGATTATAAAAAAAAAGTATTTTATTATTTATAACATTAAGCATATTGTGGTTCTAAAATTTTAAATTGATATATTCTTTTATAAAATTTATTTTTATTAATCTCATTATGATCATATATTTATGTAGATTCCATCCTTTCCAATTTACACTCGCTGTGGAGAAGTTTATGTTAGTTTAAAGTTAATGAAAACTGATTTATATCTAACACAACAACAGCTAACTGACGTAGCAACATTCCTTAATTATACATTCACTAGTGTACTACGTTTACAAAAATGTCATGTAGCATTTGATCCAACCACTACTCATAATTGTTATTACATTGTGCCAACTATTAGAGGTATTTTTAAGAAATATATATTGTAATACTTTCATATTATTATAATAGAATTTCAAACAAAAAGTCAGTAATAATAATTTAAGGAAAAAATTTTATAGTAAAAAAAGTACAATAAAAAAATTATATATCAATAACATACTAAAATTATCAAAGCTATAAATGACAAAATTATTATTAAATATGATAAGGTATATAATATATAATTTCATATTTTTAAATAATAGTTATGTTTTTTTTTATTAGCTTTTATTATGAAAATATTATAGCTCGACAATTACATAAGAAATAAATGATATAGTATTAATTAGCGTTATGAATTACAGAAATAATTAGTGTTAATTAGTATAACAAAAGTGAAATTTTATAAGCAGGCACCTATTAGACGCAAAGGGGAAGTAATTCAATAAATAGTGGGGGAAGTGTCATATAACTTGTTCCTTATGTAAATGGCAAAAGGCAACAGAGTTCAGGTTTAATTTGTAAGTGAATGCTGGTAAAAAGTTATGACCCAGTCTGAGTCGTGAAAAGCTAGAAATGATATTGCGAGAAACATCTAGTTGATAGAAATGATAGTTTTAATATAAAATTAAATAGCCCATAGATAATTATACAATTTAGTATATAGTTATTATAAACACAAATAAAATAATAACATTTTAACTACCGAAAAATAGAATTTCATTGTACCACATTGCATCAAAATAAAAATGCCTAATAAAGAATTTGTAATAAAATAAGTAAAAATTATTCGAATATAAAATACTATGGTATAGTTTGTGATAAGTTTGCTCTAACATATTGTCTCTACTCTTTTTTTTTTTAAGCACTTTTCTATAGGTGCATTTTTATATTTAAGGTGAAAAGTTACCCAATTTGAGGCAATTATTTAAAATTAAATCTAAATAAGACTACACTTACAAAATAAATACAGTTTATTTTATAATATAAACTTGTTATAAGCTTATATTAAAAGTATATTTTACTTATAAAGTTAGGATTATTTATCACTGACAATTATTTCTAACTTAGAAAAATGTTTTTAAATTAAATTATAAGGTTGCTGCATACTTCTTAAAATAAATAATGTATATAAAATATTAACTAAAAATTAAAAAAATACTTAAAATATTTAACTAAAAATGCCACAATAAATACTATATATTAAATTTTAATTAATATTAGGCACATGTGTTCAATTCTTATTATATTATTATATACTTTAAGAATCTTTTTTTTTTTTTTAATGTTTGATAATCCAGTATTGTAAGTCAATATGATTAAGTAATAAAATATTACCATTTTATTTTATCTACAAAAATTGTATGTTTTAAGTATTTAAATAAAATTGTATTGTAATTAAAATTTAGTTATCATTAATTACTATTGATTTTTATTTGAAATAAGATGAAAATGACTGCATGGATATAAACTGGGAATTTTTGGATGCTATGCATAAAAGAAAAGATGAAAGGCTTCAAATAATACCTGATGAAGACCGAAAATATTTCCAACCAGATATTGATGTTCTAAAAGATGCAGTTGTTACACCTTGGTATAGAAATCAAGAGCAGCCTCAAGTAATATATTGAATTACAATAATTGCAATAACATTTCATCATTTTTTTGTTTTGTTTTGTCTTAGTACTTTTATGTAGCTGAAATTTGTGATCATCTAAATCCAAAATCACCTTTCCCAGGCTCAATAGAAAATTATAAAACATTTGAAGATTATTATTTCTTGAAGTATAACTTAAGGATTCAAAATCTTGGGCAACCTTTATTAGATGTTGATCATACTTCGGCTAGGTTGAATTTCCTAACGCCCAGGTTTATTATCAATACAGTAATTTAACTAACTTAGTAGTAGTCAAACTAATTTTTCCATAGTTTTAAAAATTCATCTAATTTAAATTATACCAAAATTAAAATAAACAGATTAAATCCAATGTAAATAAAACTATGAAATATGAAATGTGAATCATTTAAAAAATGTTACAGGCTATATTTAAGATTTATCATGAAAGCTTGAATATTCAAATTAAATATTAGATTTAAAACAAATATCCTATATTGAGTTCGGTTTTATTATTCATGCCATAAATTATTTGAGTTCACATCTTAATAATGGATAGTCTCATTATTAATTTAATTAGACAAATTATTTTAGTTTAACTCAGTTTTATTCAATTTTATTTAGATATATGAATAGAAAAGGTGTTATTTTACCTACTAGTAGTGATGCAACCAAAAAAGCTAAAAGAGATAATTTAAGTCAAAAACAAATTCTTGTACCAGAACTTTGTAAAATTCATTTGTTTCCTGCATCAATGTGGCGAAAAGCTGTTTCATTACCATGTATATTATACCGTATTAATGCATTATTGTTAGCTGATGAAATTCGAACTATAGTTGCCAAAGATATATATTTAGGTTCACTTAATCTTCCTTATGGTAAAATTATACTACATTTAATGTTGAAGAATTAAATTAATTTTTAAATTTGTATAGATCATCACTGGGAGCCTTTAGACTTTGGTTGGACAATGAAAGAAATTTTAAAAAAAAGAAAAGAACAGAAAGAAAACTTTAATAATAAGAAAATTGTCGACCTAAAAGAAACAATTGAAACTTTTGATAATCCCTTAAAAAAAAAAAATGAAGATATAGTCAATATAGATAAATCAGATGATCCCAACTGGATGGATATTGGCACTTGGTCGAATGACATGGCTAATTTTTCAATGAATGATATTAATTCTGTCTCTTCTAAAATAAGATACACATCACCTACTAGCTGGATGGTACATAGTGACAACGATTCAAGTACATTTAGTGATGTTGATTCAGATGATGGAGCACAAGAAAATGATATTCATTTAAGTAGCTTACGTATAGAATTCAGAAATACTTATTTAGCTGAAGCTGTAGATGAAAATGAAAGTAAACCTAATAAACAACACTTATTTAAAAATAATGAATCTTCAAGTTGGTCATGGAATGACAGTTGTAATATTCTTTTTGAAAAACAACAAATGTCTATTTTAGAAGAAAAGGATATTAAATTTTTATTTATTAATAAAAATGAAGACATTATTGTTAAGCGCAAACAAAAAGATACTCAAGTAATAGATAAATCTTCTTCATTAGAATTACCGTGGCTATTAAACTCTGACACTGGATATGGAACTAAGGAAAATAATTTTGTATCAAGTATTTCAAAATTGGATATGTTAACCAGAAAAAGAAGTCATGTTAATTCAATTTTTAATGAAAATAAAACCGATCCAGACATTTTTAGTTTTGATTATCAACCAGATTTAATTAATCATAGTGGACCTAATCCTAGTGTTCTACTTCAGGCTTTAACAATGTCAAATGCAAATGATGGTATTAATTTGGAACGTTTAGAAACCATAGGTGATTCATTTTTAAAATATGCTATTACTGCTTACTTATATTGTACACACGATAATGTTCATGAAGGAAAATTAAGTCATCTTAGATCAAAACAAGTTAGTAATCTAAATTTGTATCGCTTGGGAAAACTAAAAAAATTTGGACAGCGTATGATATCTACAAAATTTGAACCTCATGACAATTGGTTACCTCCTTGTTATTTTGTTCCACATAAGTTAGAAAAAGCTTTAATAGATGCTGGCATACCTACTTCTTTATGGAATATGATTACTCTACCTACTTTTAAAGATCCAACTGATAAAGAAATTAATGAAGCTATTAAACAGTTTAAAAGGGGAATTAATAATGATAATCCTGCAAATACGCCTGTGTTTGTACCTTATAATCTTGTTACTCAACACAGTATTCCAGATAAAAGTATTGCTGATTGTGTTGAAGCTTTGATTGGTATGAGATTTATTTATATATAAATTGTTATAAATATGGAAATAATTAAATATAATTTTATATTAGGTGCTTATTTAATATCATGCGGTTCTCGAGGAGCATTACTATTTATGTCTTGGCTAGGAATTAAAGTACTACCTACATTAGAAGATATGACATTAGGATATTTGAAACAACCTTTATCGCCTTTATTACGTAATGTAACTGATCCTGAAGGCGAACTGAATAAATTAATGTATGGTTTTGAAATATTTGAACAAAATTTAGGCTATAGATTTGAAGATCGTAGCTATTTGTTACAAGCTATGACTCATGCATCTTATTATCCTAATCGCTTAACTGACTGTTATCAACGCCTTGAATTTTTAGGTGATGCAGTTTTAGGTAGTTAAAAAATTATGTGGTTAAACAAATTAAAAAATTATTTTTTTACGTAAGAGTTAAGTACATGTAATTTTTAGATTATTTGATTACAAGACATCTTTATGAAGATAAAAGACAACATTCACCTGGAGCATTAACAGATCTTCGTTCGGCATTAGTAAATAACACTATTTTTGCCTCATTAGCAGTCAGGAATGGATTTCATAAATATTTTAAACATTTATCTCCTGGTCTTTCTGATGTGGTTTGTAAATTTGTTACAATACAAGAAGAAAATGGGCATAAAGTTGATGAAGAAGTATTGAATATAGCGTATTTTAATAACTATACTAAGTAATTTGTACTTTTCATTTTTATTTTAGTTTTATTTTATGGGAGAAGATGAATGTGAAGATGCAGAAGATGTTGAAGTACCAAAAGCATTAGGAGACGTTTTTGAATCTGTTGCAGGAGCCATTTATTTAGATAGTAACATGTCATTAGATACTGTATGGAAAGTGTACCACAAAATTATGGAAAGTGAAATGGGTTAGTATTTTGCAATTATAGCCTGTGTACGTGTATATATATTATATACCTGTAGAGGCTCTACTAGAAAAAGTTAAAGAATTAAAGCTTAAATAAGATTTAACTTCTCCAAAAATTCACAAAATTATATTAATTAATATTCAGAGTTATGATCCATTAAAATAAAAATAAATATTTTTTTTAGTTAAATTTTTTAGGAGGTGGGTAAAAACTGTTCATGCACTTAGAACTGTAGGTCCATTGTGCTCACCTCTACCTAATTATAATAATTTAGTTTTTACATTTAAATATTTTCATCAAAGTATTGTTATGATAGTTAAATATATCTAACATTTTGTATATATAGGGCGTTTTTTTTTAGATATATATTAAAAAAATATATCGAATTATAATAATAAGTTAGGAGAAATAATCCTAAAAAAATGTATTAACATTTAAGGGGTTTGAACAATGAATGTGCTGTTTCATTATTTGATAATCAAGTTGATAATGAAAATTTTTTTATATGATAATTTTATATTGTATAAAAATATTTTTTTAATATTTCTACTATAAGTATTGTAATTAAGTTTATTTAAATTAATATTATAGAAAAATTCAGTACAAATGTTCCCAAATCACCAATCAGGGAACTATTAGAGCTGGAACCAGAAACAGCTAAATTTAGGTAAATTAAGTTTTAAATCTTTTACTCACATTAAACAAACTTAAATAACATACCTTTCCAAGTGTTAATTTATTCAAAACTTTTAATATTTATATTGTTTAAAAATAATTTTGTAGCAAACCAGAAAAGTTAGCTGATGGGCGTCGTGTCCGTGTTGTTGTAGAAATTTTTGGAAAAGGTGAATTCAAAGGTATTGGTCGAAATTATAGAATCGCAAAATGTACTGCAGCAAAATGTGCTTTGAAACATTTGAAAAAAAAAATAAAATGTTAAAACATTTCAAAATATTACAATAAACTTATTTATTTTAATATTAAAAATATACATAATTATATTTAAGTTAATTTCTTAAATATTTCATAGTAATTTTTTTTAATAAGAATATTGGCAAAAAATAAGAGAACTACATTTTCTAAAATAAAAAAAATTGAGAACATAGTTCTCTGAAAATTTATTTATAACCAAGTACAGATTATTTAAGGCGCTTAGAATACAAGGTGTAAAAGTGATATTTTTTAAAAAGTTGAGCTAAGCGTATAGTCAAACTGAAAATTAATAGTTTTATTTGGTAAACAATAAGTTAAAAAATACATAAAAATCATGAAAATGTCTTTTTTTTACATGGTATTGTATAAAAAACAAAAACATTAAACCCAATCAAAAAAATGTTACTTATACCTAAAGATTTCTAAATGCCTCATTTAATATTTGTTGTTACATTTTTATTTTTATTTTTAACTTATTTAAGTTGATTTTAAGTTTAATATAAGAGCAAAGATAATTTTTTCATAAAATGAGAACTTAGATACTACATTTTGCAATTATAAAACTATAATATTAAATTTAAAATGAAATTATTCATTTTTTTAAATTAAGTATTAATTTATTGTTCTGATTTCAATTCTAAATTAGTACAGAATATTTTATTTTTAACATAAGGTTCCAAACCTTCGCCAGCATATGTTATCAAAGGTGAAATTTCACATATTAAAGAATCATTGATGAATTTTCCACCTGCTTTTACTACAAATTTTTTATGAAGATTTAGTAGGTCTAATCGTGATGTACAAGGGTTGTCTTTACCACCAGGAGCATATGCATTTTTTAATGCACTGAATTCTTCATCTCTATTTACTTCCCATACAGCTAAATTAGTACAAAATTCAAAAACATCAAAAATAAATTTTTCCATTTTAATGCCATTAGGTTCTGTTGGTTTACATTCATATCCTTTTGAATTGACATATGGTATTTTCTTTTTAGCAATATGTAATTTCAATTTATCTTGGTACTTAGAAACAATTTCATCTAAGAATTTTGTTGTAAAAAAATGATTACAAATATTTCCAGAACTGTATAAAAGACTACCATCAAAGTTTTTTTTTTCAGCCGTATTACTAGTGATTTCACTGTACTCTACTACTTGAAATTTTCCATCTACTTCACAAACAACTCCCAAAGGTTCTGATGGATATGCTTTTTCAACAACCTTAGCTCCACAATCAGCATTTTTTGAAATACAATAACCAATAAATATTGGATCAGCTACTTTAACTAATATGTTGTCAACACTATGGGCATGGAGATATAAAATACCTCGTTTTTTTATTTCATTAAGAATATTACGATCACGTAAAGCTTTATACAGACCACCATTACCATCTGGGGATTTGGATATTTTATATTTATTTTCCATAATAATTTTTCCATCAAATGTAAATGCTGGTAACATATACTGCTCAAAGAATATAATATCTTCTTTTTTTAAACCAAAGTAATTTTTGCTTCTAAAATATTCTTCAGTTGGTTCCATAGTGTGCTCACTGGTCATTATAAACCAAGGCAATCCGTAGCAGTGTCCATACTTTTGTTGAGCGAGATTGATAAGCCGTTTAATACGTTCTCCTTGAATACAAAAAAGAGATTTTTGAGATGGTAAACCAACGTTATACATACCTTTAGGATAATTTACTCCAAGCCTAGTTCCTTGCCCACCAGCCATCAATAAAACTCCAACCTTACCATCAGAAATTTGCTTAAGTCCTGAATTATTATATTCCTCCAAATGTTTTTCAGAACTAGTCCTTGTTGAACCAAATATTTCAGAAGGAATTGGTTTCATTTTATTATCTAACATATCAACATCAGTTTTCATGCAATTAAAAGTTCTTTTAAACAAGCTTACTACTTCTAGAATATTAAAAGCTTTGATATCTGCCAATAACTGTAGTCTTTCTTCATCATTTATTTCGTTCCAAAACTTAAGAATATGTTGCTGGTCGTAAGTTTTTAATAATGTTTCTACTGAATCAAAGTCCGACATTATAAAAATTAACGTAACAAGCATTCATTAATAAAAAGTGATAATAACGACTATGCCACATACCAAACTAATTTTACCAATCTTACTTTCACTAAAACCTCTCTAAGATAATCATGAATGAAGAATGGTACTCAACCACATAATTAAAAAGCAAATAGTTAACCATTCAAGTTTTAATAATTCTTAAAGAGGAATTACTATCATACTTTATAAATTACAATTTAATTATCTTTTCTAATTATTGTTTAATTTTAGATTTTGAAGCACATTCTATCACTTTTAAAATAGAAACCCTAAACAAGTTAACATAAGAACATAACAAATGCACATATAATTGTCTATTGTAATATTATATTACATCAATTTTCAGACAGTACATTTCGAAATTCATTGCAAAATTATGTCTCTAATACTTTCCAAAATTGACGTTTAGGTTTTACTTAAGTATAAATAATGGTTATTTTATCAGTGAAAAATGTCTATTAATTATTTAGGTAAAATAAACTAAAAATCCTGTGTCAATCATATGACAAAAAATTAGTTTTGTTTTTTTGTATAACATTACATTTGTTAGATACAGAATATAGTTAAAATAATTTTGTCATTTTTCATTTATGAAAATAAGTTTAAATTAAATATAAAAATAGAGTTTAAATAATAGGTTTATGGTCATTACTACGACCCATTATTACCGCTAAACTCGAAAAATAGGATTAACCTGTCAATAAATATTGCCACATGCTAGGAATAATTAACAAGCATTCATAAATATTCATTATAAGACAGTTGATATAGTGATAATGGTTCTAAGGATTCTGATAATAATTGATATAGCACTTGAAATGGTCAATTTCGTTAATGTATATTACTACAATTATTTTATAACAATTGTATTATTATTAATTTAGTTGCTGGATAAACATTTAAATATAATCCTTATAATGGAACCAAAATCAGATCAAGCTGTTGAGTTAGAAAGTGAAGTTATATTGAGAGTTCCTGTGGTAATATATTTTTAACGTTTTATATCATTGTTTTTCTATTTGAAAACCATTATCGCTACTGATATTACGGGGATAAAATTTTTTTTTTTAATTAAGGAAAACTCTATCATAACAAATTAATTGTGGATTTATTTGAAAATCTGGTTTATGGATTTGCCCAACTACCTAAATTGCCAATTTTGTTAGCAACTTCTAAAGAAATTTAACATGCAAACTTCAAAATTTCAAGACAGCCTGTATAGATAATTCAGGAATGTTTCGTATTTCAATATGTAGGTACTGGGGTTTCATTTTGTTTTGTCAAATTGCACAGTTTTTTCCATTCTTTACCACAACCAATATGAGCTTATGAGAAAACACATTAAATATAGATCTAAAAATCAAAATACTATCAATATTCTTTTATCTAACAAAAAGCTTGAAATGTATATTTTTTATTTATTATTGTGCAGTAAAGCCAAATTCAGAATTTTATTTATCATGTTATCATTGTAATTTTTTGTAATTTCTTTAATTTAGGAAGCTGCAACAACTTTAAAAGAATTAATTAAAAAAGATGCAAAAGAGCAAATAAGTATTAAATTAGAAAACGATATAAGAAAAGGTGAAGTTATTATTGGTAATCACCATTTATTTGCTAAGGTAATTTTTTTTTTATTAATAATATTTCTTAAATTATTAAAAAATATAAAATTTAATTTTAGGTTGTAGATTTACCTACTATTATTGAAGGGCAAAAAACAATTGATAATAAGACTGTTTATAAAACTGCTGATATATGTCAAGTGAGTATTATTTTAATCACTGAGTTAATGTCTGAATAAAACTTAATTGATTAAATTATTATAAAAAAGGATTGATTGATTTTTTTAGATGATTATTTGTAAAGATAATGAAGATTTTTTACTATCTGATGAAGATGATAAAACAAAAATCTTTAAAAAAAAAGAGCCCAACAAAGTAGATAAAAAATATTTATGGCCACATGGTATAACACCTCCATTAAAAAATGTAAGAAAGCGTAGATTTCGTAAAACTCTTAGGAAGAAATATGTAGAAGCACCAGAAATTGAAAAAGAGGTACATAGTATAAAAAAAAATTTTAACTCTTATTCCTTAAGAAACAACAATTTTTTCCATAAATAATATTCTCATATCAATATTTTTACATCAAATAAATATATCACTAAGTACAATATCAAGTAAATACTTTTTTTTTTATTTTTTAAGTTTTATTCCATATCAATTAGAACTACAATATTAGCTACAAGTAATCAATTCTTATTATAAATTTAGAAAAAATTTATAAATTATTTGTATGGATAAACAAAATAAAACTTTATCAAAAAATTTACTTACTAGGTACTTAGTGTATTGGTTGATGTAAGTTTTCAATTTAGTAAAATTGTAGTTCATTAATAAAAAAGCATTTAAATAATAATTTAGTACTCAAATCCTTTAATTCATTGTATGTCCAATTCACTTAAGATATAGATTACTAAATTATTAGGTTCCAATAGTTTTGGCTCTTGTTTTACCTTTCAACTCAAAGCTATTTAATTGTTAATTGTTTCATTAATAGCATAAAAGTCTTAATATATAATAATATTATAATATAATAATATATATATAATATTATAACAATATGAATAATATTTCTAAAAATATTTACTAAGATTGTATTTCAATAACCAGATAACTGTCATATCTCTAATACCAATTGAAAAGTCTATTCATTATTTGAAAGCAGATATGCTTTATAACTAATATTCCTATTTATAACTAATAGTCTATCTATTTTTAAATAACAGTGATCAGTATTAATTTTTGTTACAAAAAAATATTCTCTATAATTTTAGGTTAAATATTTGTTAAAAAGTGACAGTGAAGCTCTTAGTGTGAAATGGGAAGTAGTTAATGAAATAGAAGTACAGAATAACAAAAAAGTTAAAGAAGAACCATACATACATGGAGAAATGCGTAATGATATCAAACAAGATATTGGTACACAATATTTTTTCATTTAAGTTATTTAAATATTGATAATTTTATGGTTGCCACAAGTCTGAAATATATAGGAAATGTGAAAAAGTTAACATATTTAAAAATGATTAGGGAAATCATTGAAATGTCAAGGATTTTGTTGATTTTCCTATAATAACAACACATAAGAAACGAGACATAATTTAACCAAAAAACAATTAGATTTTTGTTTAACTAAAAAAATCAACTATTATCTTTTTTCCTTGGAAATATCAATAAATTATAATTTTTTTCTTTTTAAAATATCTTATATTAGTTTTTTTTTTTTGAGGATTGGTAGAAAGAAAGATAATGGGGTTTATGAAAGTTATATCATAATTAAGTGTGTTAATCCTACTTTTTTTTATAAATATTATATACCTATGGTCCACAGAGCAGGTTTAGAATTTTTAAACATTTTCCTACAAAATCATAGATAAGTCAGAGAATTTGAAAATTTTAAACTTCTGATATCTTTGAATTTTCTATTAATGCTATTTAATTTGTAATATGTTCAAATTATTATTATTAAACTTAAAATAGTTTTTAGTTGTAAAAATTAATTTAATTTTTTTTTAATTTTAGCTGAAAGAGACATTTTTGGAGAAGCTCTTAGCGATTCTGACGAAGAAGCTGGTAATATTAATATAATGGATATGGATGAAGATATGAGCAGATTAACAGCTGATGATAGCCGTTTGTCTGATACAAATTCTTTAATGGTAGAATATTGTTTATTATGACTTATATTATTTTACATTATATCAATATTTCTACTTTAGGAAGAGAAACCTTCTGTTTCTAGTACTCAAAAGCTTGTTACTGAATTTTCTAAAGAAATGTTCATTTCTAATGATAGCTCTCAAAATGAAATAAAAAAAGAACTTCCTTTAGATACTAATATTGAAATATTAGATGAAAGTTTAGGTTATAGTAGAGATGAGATTGGAGATGATCTTAAGTCTGAATTAGAACTTAGTGATGATAGTAAGCTTGGAGATACACCAGTACTATCTACATTAGTTCCATTAGAAGCTGGAAATGTTTCCTCTGGTATGAATTTATTATCATGACTAAAAAATAATTCATTTTATGAATTTGATACATTAATTGTATATTTTAGATGATATAAAACATAAAATTGATCAATTACAACTAGAAATTGAAGAACTGAAAGAACGGAAAAAACAACAAGATATGGAAATTGCTAATATAGAAAATATAAATTTAAGAGAAAGATTTATAAATATTTCAAATAATCTTTTTGCAGAACAATTAGATAAAGAACAACAGGTATTTGATTTATCAGGTTATAATTTTTAGTAGTATTGAACATTTTAAAATCTTTTTTTCTATACCTTTGCTTTTTGACAAACAGAAATTAAAAGTTTATCACTTATTTTATTTCTTGATTGGATATAATCAAATAATTAATGAAATCTACTATAGGTTAACTACTATCACTACTTAACTAACAATACTGAGTTTTATAAAGTTTTTTTTTATTTTCCAAATTTTACTGATTAAATTAAGTATTAAAAAGTTTGTCAAAAAAAAAAACAGAATGAAGTGTGAATGAATAGTGGGTGATATCATTATAATATTTTGCCTATATAGTCTTTGGAGGCTAATAAATTACCTATCCTCTTATACATAAAAAATAATTTCTTAGATTATATTAAATACAAGATTTTTGTTTAAATATGAGTTACACAATATTTTTAAAAATATAAAACAATGTAATTTTTTATTTAAAAATTAATAGTATCCTATGTTCTATGATTTCTAAAAAACCATTTGGTCATATCCCTCTTAGAATTTGATCAAAAGTTTTTAAATAGAAATATGTATAATTAATCAACTTACAAACTAGAAAATTATCAATCTAAGAAAATGATTTGTTGATAATAATTTTTGGACTAGTATTTCGGAACTTATTAATTATTTAATATAAAGACTAAAGGTGAACGCTGATTTGTTTGCTTCGTTTTGAAGTTGAAAAGGCATTTATTTTTTATCTTTAGACATTAACAAACTATACTACTCCTAAACCCAACTCCTGTCTTGATATAAAAATACTAATATTTTCTAAAACACTTGTCTAAAAATTCTTATCAACAAGTTGATAAATCTTTAAGGGGGATATGGTAAAATTGTTTTCTAGAAATTATAGAATACAGGATACTATTAATTTTTGAATATAAAAAATTACATGTTTTATATTTTTATTTTTTTCTCTGTATTTATTGGGTACAAAATATTAAGCATGTAAATAATATATTTTTAATTTTAGATTCAAGAACTCCGATCAATTTTATTATAGAAGAACTATGAATAAGCAAAAGACATAATAATAATATATAATATATACATATTATGTATATGTCATATAATATAATAAAATGTATTATATTCAAAAAAACTTCTTCTATTTCACATAATTCTAAATAAATAAATATTACAGATAGATATTTTTAAACAGTTAATGTTAATGTTTAAGATAACATCCAAGTAATGGTTGTTTTAATCAATTTATAATATATATTATATCATGAACACTACAAAATTAATATTTTAGTCCTCTTTTTGATTTTCTGGGGGTGAATTATTTTCAGGAATTGGAACATCTTGGATATTATTGTTTTCTTGTTCAATTAAATTTTGTTTATTAGCCTCTTCAGCAAGTTTTTGCATAGATTTTTGTTGGTGCTCAATAAATCCTTGCATACATTTTTGACCTACTGAATTGGCCTTTTGGACACAGTTATTTGCACACAGTTGCTAAAATCAAATAAAAAGTGAAATAATTTTACATATACTTAATTGTATCAATGAATCTTTCATTATCAAAAAAAAAAAAAAAATTTTAATCCTATAATCTCAAAAGGTAATATTGAGATGTACATAATTTAATAGTTTTAACATTATTACAAGACATTTTACCAACCAAATAAGTTTAATACTAGTATATTCAACAACTTGCAGGTTATTTCAAAATGTTATTTAAAAAACTTGAATAGATATTATTTAATAGTTTTAGAGATTTCATTATTTGAAATAAATAAAATTTTTACTACAAGTGACTAATAAAAATTTTAAAAATTGTGATTTTTTTCATATTATTTGATCATTTAATAATATAAAGGACTATTACATAAAATTATATCAAAATAAATATCTAACAGTATGTATTAACAAGGAGAGTTAACTAAATATTACCTCTTCCTCTGATAATTTGCTTTGAGAAAATGAGTACACACATTGAGTGAAACATTCATCAGTAATTTTATTGTAATTTTGCAAAAATTCTTTGATCTAAAAATACAATCAATATATATATATATATATTTTAGGGTAGCTCTTTTAAATCAAATTTTTTTTTTTACGGTACCCATTCATTTTTCTTAATGCTCATATAAATGAGCTGTGCAAGATTAAGATTAACCTTTGCCCCAGACTTCTTAAGTTGTATTAATAAAATAATTTTAATAAAAATAACTGATCTTTGTCTCAATTTTTTTTTTGCTTAATTTAGAATTATTAAAGTAAAACGAGAATTTTTCAAGAAATTCAAAATTATTAATGTCAATATTGTTTTCTTAATGAATAGCTCACAAAATAACTACATTCAGTAAAATACATATAAAGTTTTAAAAATATGTCATAACTGATTTTGTTTATTTTTACTTATTCATATTATAACATATTTTCCAATAATCAGTTAATATTTGTGAGTGATTATTATTATGAAAAACAAAATAAAAATAAACATAATCAGTTATAACATATTTTTAAGACTCACATGTTTTTAACTATATGTAGTGATTTTATAAGCTATTTATTAAAAAAACAGCATTGACGTTATTATTTTGAATTTCTTATAAAATTTCCATTCATGTGTTTTACCTTCATATATTTATGAGCATTAAAGAAAAGTTAAGAAGTATAAAAAAAAAGACATTTGATTTTTGAAGACTACCCTAATTAAATAAATTTAAATTACAACCATGGTAATAAAGAACATAATTTACTCACATTTTTTAGATAGATTTCATCTTCCATTTTAAAGATATCTTTAAAATAAAATGAATTATAAATTTAATATATAAAAGGTGTACAAAATCATTTATAAAAAAGTTGCTAACTATTAAAAAATATGATGTTAAAATAATCGAAATAAATAATATAATAATAAACAAATAGCAGAACTTAAAATTTTGTAAAGCTGTCTCATTGGATAAACATTTTCAAAATCAAAAGAATAGTTTCATCACAGAACTATGTGATTTTAACAATGTATTGATCAAATAACTGATCAAAAATAATTTTTTATTACATACTATGTAAGTAAATTGTGATAAAGAATTGTCATCATAATCAAAGCACAGCCTTGCAGTTGGCTCCCAAAATTAACTGATATGCAACTATTGATAAGATGGTTTATCATGCACATTAGGTTGCAGTATCTTAATTTATGGTATCAACTTTGATTGATCATATTTTAATTGTTTGTTTCGAAAATAAAAATGAGTTTTAAATAATTATTTTGTTCATTTTTGTCTATGTCAGTGCATTTACAATGTAGTTTTCTTTGTTTTTTAATTAATTAGCAAGTTTTAATAGTTTTAAATTAAACTGACTGGGTGTCCAATCAAAAAAATGTCTTATTTTAAATGTTTTAAAGCGTTAGTGCTTAGACCAAGACTAGAAATGAGATGTATATCATTATTTCATCGGCCGCCAATTACTATTTTTCAAGATCAAACAATCAATAAATATTCTAATAGTTCTAAATTAATTTCGGGATCAAATCTTAAAAAAAGGAGTCAGCGACGAAAAGCTAATGAAGATACATACCATCGCCAAGGAGTTAATAACTATTTTCAATTTTTGAAATCTTAGTTTTATTCAAGCATAACCACTTGAAATTTATTTTTGTTATTTAAACTCAGTAGAGTATTGAGATAACTTATAAATAGAATTCGTATAATATTTTAATATTGCTTAAAATAGGTCTTTTCTCAAGTAATTTATTATTAATATTAAATAAAAAATATCTTATTGATACATCTGTAAAATTAAATTGAAGAAAGATAAAAGCTAAGAAAACAACTTCATAATTAAAATTATTCTAAATTTTTTAATTTTGATTGAAAATAAAAATAAAATTTTATCAGTACTTTTAAGTAATCAAATGAGTGTACATCATAAATCAAATTTTCAATTAAAAATGTAAAAAATTATTTTTTAAATAGCTCAACAATGAATTTATATAAAGTTTAGTAAATTGTATATCATACACGAATATCTATTTACAAAATGTTTTAGTAAGCCTATAGCATAGCTACTGCATAATTATATCGTGAGATATTGCTGATGTAGCTAACCAACTATGTAATAATTGATAAGATGTTAAGGAGCAATGAAAATAGTTGTACTATTAATAACTGATATAATAATAAAATAAAACAAAATTAGAATAAAATAAATTTCTAATTTTAAATTTAATTAATTTAAATAAGTACTTTTTTTTAAATATGAAGATTATATGACATTTTAACTATTTTAAAACAAAAAATTATATAATATTTTTCAAAAGTTATGACATGAAATATAATAATTAAATTTATCTTGTATATGTTTTTAAATTAAAATTTAAGAATTTTTTTAGTTTTGGAGTGTAACTGCTTTTACTACAGCTGAAGAGTATCGTTTGGAAGAATTACAAGAAGCTCTTTCTAAAACTAACCTTTATGAACCAACAGACTTGTACAATGGTTCTGAAAATTATGAAGGTGTGTCATTAGTTTACTATTTATAAAATCGACTAGTGCATAAAAAAATTTAATAGATTACAGATACTGTACCATTTGATGTGATTCATGCTACATCTAAATATCATGTTACTAATGAGAATAGGCATTTATACATTTTTCGTGAAGGGTCTGTTGTGGGATGGAATATATCAGATATGGAAGTTACTATTTTAATTGATTTTTTGTCGAAATATCAGATTATGCCATATGCAACTAATGTCATTATGGATGAACGTGAATTAATGTATTATACCTATACAAATGACAAGTAATTGCTTCAATACAAGTTTCATTTAATTTGTATAAATAAAGGTTTTATATAGTCATAATTTCAGCCTTATTTATTTATTTTAATAAAATATTTACTTAAATGAAATAAAATGATCAGTTTTACATCTTTTATTTCCTGTATTAACTATACTACAGAGGGGTGGACTTTTTCACATCTTAAGAAATCAAAGTTCTTAGCTAGACCAGATAGACGTGACAGGTATTACTGACAGTTTGTACCAGAAATAAGACACTTCCTTTTCTTTTTCCTCATCTTAATCCCAACTATTTGGGGTCAACCCCAAGTAGTTATCTAGAAATAAGACACCACCAAGAAAATTTTTGTTGGCACTCTGGAAATCAAACCCGGGATCCCCATGTGCTGAAACATACGTTTCTACCCACTAAGCTAGGCCGACCCCTTTAATTAAGTATTTAATAATTAATAATTATTTAGGTATAGTTTATTAAAATTACAAATTTTTCTTTTGTTTAGAAAAAGCTCAATTCAAAAAGGAAATTTACATTTAATTAAAGGAGATAAAAAGGCTTCTGATTTAGATCGTTATACATTTTCTAATGCCATGGCCCACAGTGTAAAATTAGGAACTTGGGAAGTTTTATTAGATCAATACATAGATTCAATTGAATTTGTCACTCAAGTAAATAAATTATTAATTAAGTTATTTAACAATTCACAACTTCTTACTTTTTTATATTTTATTATTGTAAGGATTAAACTATATACTTCATACAAAAATGACTTAAAGTTCATTTTCCTAAGTTTTTTTTAGTATTTTTTTCTTTGTACTAGAGATGTGTCGTTCGCGAACGAACGGATCGCATTGAACGGGTCAAAATAGTGAATGAAATGATTCAGATCGCCGAACCGTAGTGATCCGGATCCCCCAAAAACTAATTTTTTCCCGTATAAATCACACTGAACCGATTTGATCGCTTACCAAATATCAATGATAATATGATAACATATTCATATGTCATTTGTTTATATGACACATCCCTAATCCGAATCATACATGCAATTCGCGAATCGAAAACCGCAAAAGAATCAAAACTATACTGAATGTTCCATTCAATTGACTCAAAATATCTTTTAGATCGCGAACGGGTCTTTGAACCGGATCTTCTAGTTGACCTGATTCGAATGAATCGGATCACTTAGGTGAACCATAATTCCCCTCTCTACTTTGTACCTCTAACTCTTTTTATGGAAAAACATTCATTTTTTTTAATTATACTGTAAAAAATCCTATTTACAATAAAAATTGTCAGCATATTTTTTTTAGATGTCAATTGATTAATAATTATAGTCCAATCAATTTTATAGAAAAGATTGATATTGGTAAAAATATAAGAAAAATTGGGATAATACCCTTCTAATTTGAACCATCTTGATCACCGCCTTAGAGTTAATCAATCTGGATCAAATTTTGTAAAACATATTTTGTGTAAAAAAAAATGTATTAACATCAAAAATATTTTTTNCGGGTCAAAATAGTGAATGAAATGATTCAGATCGCCGAACCGTAGTGATCCGGATCCCCCAAAAACTAATTTTTTCCCGTATAAATCACACTGAACTGATTTGATCGCTTACCAAATATCAATGATAATATGATAACATATTCATATGTCATTTGTTTATATGACACATCCCTAATCCGAATCATACATGCAATTGAAGTTTTATACATCACTCCCTAGAAGTATTCCTTTTTAAAAAATAATTTGTACAAAATTTAGTTGAAATTGAATAATGTTAACACGTGCTGCAAGTGGGTTGAAAATTTGACTGCAAGTGTGTTTCATCATTTATTTAACAATCTATGTTATTTACAGAAACAATTATAGAATTTAATTTATAAAAAAATGTTTGCCACAAAATATGTTATTAGCCAAAAAGCTGTATCTATAATATTTAGGCATAAAAAAAACTTATCGTATCAGCTAAAATTAATCTTTTCATTTATTTAAATATTGCGAATGAACGATTCAACCTAAACTTTTTAAAAGAGACTCGTGATTTCACGTAATTTATTATCTTATAATTTAATAAAAAGCTTTAATTTTTGAATAGGAGCTAAATTATTGTCTAATTTGTAAATATATATATAGCATTAATACGCAAATATTTATTAAAAATTAGTAAAATGCACAATTAAAATAATAAAATATTAAATTCTAACTTTTTTCTGTAGATTGAATAGTTCATTTTTAATATTTAAGTAAATTAATAAAAATAATTTTAACTATTAAGATAAATATATGTTGTTTTAGCTTCGATTTAAAGCTGAGAAGGTATTTTAATATTATTATGCCTAAGTCTTCTTCTTCTTCCTCGCCTTAATCCCAACTTCTTGGGGGTCGGCCATATTATTATGCCTAAGTAATATAGATATAGCTTTTTCTCTAATAGCATTTTTTATGCAAATATTTCTTTCTATAAATTACATACTATAATTTTTTCTATAATTAGTATATAGTGTAAAATTATGAAAATTAAAAACCAACCTTACAGTCGAATTTTCAATCCTCTTGTGGCATGTGTCAACATCACTCAATTTCAACCAAATTTTGTACAAATTATTTTTTACTTAATGGAATAATTTTAAGGGGGTATTAAATTAATTTTTGTCCAAAAAAAATTAACTTGGATAGCTAAGAATCACCCTAAAATATAAAAAATATTTAAATTAAATAATATTTACATTTTAATTTTTATTTATTTAAAAATATATTAGCTTTAAATGTAGTTTGGTTTTGTGTATAAATAATAAATATGCATGAAATGTTTAAAATTTAAGATTTTAGTTAGATTTAATAAAAAATAGTATCAAGGTCATATATTTTACAGCCAATAGGTTACTCTAATATATTTATTAGATTATACCAACAATGTTATATATAGTGAATTTACAATTTATTTGCTAAACCTATGTTAAAAAAATAACTGTAACTTTATCCAGAGGTGCTCTTTCAATTGTAATGGTTAATGTAAAATGTTATTTGCTAGGAAAATGAATAAGGTATAACTAAATGTAGCTTCAAAAACCTAATACTAATTTTTGTTAAATGTTGATTAGTAATTATTAATTATTGAAATTCACCTAAAGGATTTACAAGAAGGTCATCCTATACGTATTACAAGAAAAGAAGTCATGAGAAAAACAGGTGAACTCTTTGGGTTAAGACATTCAATTAATTTGAGTTCTGATCTACATGATATACCTGATTTTTACTGGGAACAAGAACATTTGGAAACTCTTTATCGTACAACTAGTAATTACTTTAGTATCTCAACACGATTAAAGGTAATATAATTTTTTTTTTATATAATTGATTGAACACAATCATTATTATATAACAATTTTTTAGGTTATGAATATGAAACTTAATCATTGCCTTGAACTTGTGGAATTACTATCTCACCACTTAAGTGATAGACATCACATAAGATTAGAGTGGATGATAATAGTGTTGATTATGGTTGAAGTTGGTTTTGAGATTTTACACTATACACAATTACTAATGTCATAACAATAAAAAAAAATAATAATATTTTAATGTAAATTAATTGTTAAACTATCAACTATTTAATAAATTGAATAACAGTTTAAATGCTTATTTATTATATAATAATAATAATTTCATTGTACCACTTTTTAAATTTAACAACTATTTTCTGAACAAAACGATATATTAATTTGCTAAGATTACAATAAAATAATTAAAATACAAACATTGTATCAAATTTTTAAATAAAAAACTTGATTAGAATATGTANTAATTGTTAAACTATCAACTATTTCATAAATTGAATAACAGTTTAAATGCTTATTTATTATATAATAATAATAATTTCATTGTACCACTTTTTAAATAAAAAACTTGATTAGAATATGTATTAAATGAGGTCAATAATTTAATAAAATATGTTTTTTTTATCAATTTTTTATTTTTAACTAAAATTTACTTGTCAATTATAGTAATTACAATTCATACAAAATAAATGTGGTTAAATAAAATTTTAGAAAAAAAATACAAATACTTCAAAATTATCTAAATCATTGTTTTACATTTAACTAAAAATCTAAATTGTACAATATATAAAATAAGTGAATAAAACACTAAATTAAAAATAAAATCAATTAAAATATCAGAAGTAGAAAGTTATAAAAAATAATTTTTACGAAATTTTCAGTTATATACCATAAATTTCAATGTATATTTAAATTATATGATTTTACACAAAATGTAAAGCATAATATCCATAGTAAAACATTATTAAAAAAAATTATATTTATCTTTATCAAAAAATTTCAACAAAATTTATTAATAACTCAAAAGAATATATTTCTCGATCACTAATTTATGATCATTTAACTTTTTAATTTAATGTAAAATGGACTAAAATAAAAATGAACAATTACCAAATTGCTCTTTTTCTTCTATAATCCTAAAAAAATGATTATTTAAATTAGTATACGAAAAAAACTAAGTAAGCATAAAATGTAAAATATTTTAAATTAATGACTTACAGTTGGTTTATCATTAAGTAGATTTAATTGAGTTATACCCAAATTGAGTTGCTCATTATCTATAAGTTCAATCCCAGACCCATTCTGGTTTTCACCATTGCACTTCTATAAATAAAATATTTTTTTTTGTAGCTAATTTGTACATAAAAAAAAAACGGTAGCACAACTCCGCTGTGGTAAGTTTTTTAAAATTATAATCCCTTCCGAAAAATTCCATTTTAAACCTATTGTTTATTAAGATGTAATGATATTTTTCAAAATTGTTAAAACTATCTAATTACATTATATGTGATTTAATTTGTATTGTACAACCAATATACTTGAATTCAAAAAGAAATGTTAAATTTTTTTTTTTAAATTAAAGTATATTACATAAGCTTTAATTTAAGGTATATATAAAAGTGTCAGTATTTTTGGAACACTTTCAAAAATTTAATTGAAAAAGTCCTAGTTTCAATACGCATTTTTAATTGTTTGCAACCCCCCTATATAAAGGGAAATGGTTTGATTTAAAAAAAAAGTATGTAGAATGAAAGAGGTATATATAAAGTATTTATCATTAAAGAATAGAATTGATTCATACATTTTTTTAAAAAGTTATAGCAACATAATGTTAAAAAATGTAAAATATAATATCAAGAATTTTTTCTCAAAAATAGCATATTTTTGCATACGGTAGTCATTTACACCATTAAGAAAAGTCCAGAGGTCAAATTTTTTTTTTTCAAATTAAAGTACAGTAGAACTCCAATTATCCGAATTAATGGGGACCGGGACCCATTCACTGACTAATCAAAACAAACAATGACAGGTGACTGCAATGCGCCGGAACTGGAGTGGGAACTCTTACCACGTGTTGTGCCTACACTGACGCCGCGGACTTTGGACAAATTTTTTTCTGATTTTTTCTGAAAGTGATTCGGATAATCGGCGATTCGGATGGTCGGAGTTCGGATAATTGGAGTTCTACTGTATATTACATTAGCTTTAATTTAAGGTATATATAAAAGAGTCAGTCTTTCCGGAACATTTTCAAAAGTTTATTTGAAAAAGTTAATTTTTTGTAAAACAGTTTCCATTTTGAAACCCTTCCTGTGGGCTGGTAAAGGGTTAAATATTCACAAAAGTATACAAAATGATAGGTAAATACTTCAGGTATCTATAAAAAAAAAAATTATATTGATTCGGTCATTTTAAAAAAATTTATAGCAGTTTTAAGTAAAAATAATTTTAAAAATGTCGAAAATTAGCGATTTTTAAATTTGTAATATTTTTGTAGGTTTCCCCCATTTATGGGGAACGAGGGATTTTTTTTCAATTTTTGAGAGTAATGTCTTCGACTAGATACGATTTGAGATCTTTTGACATATTGTTCATCAAAATCGGTCCAGCGAGTGCTGAGATTGAGCGTTCACAAACACAAAAAATTAAAAAAAAACAAATCATAGTAAAATTAATACCTTTTCAGATTTGCATCACAGCTATAATGAAAGAATATACAAAATAAGATTTATAAATACATGACAGGAAATGCAACAATTACTAAAAATCAGTACTGTCTTATAAAATATTTATATTAGTTTTTTTAATCTAATTTTACTATTAAGTAAAATTCAGACAAAAGACTGATTAATTAAAAATAGTTGTAGTTATATGATTGAAATTTTATATAAATTAGCAAATAGACTATTTTCAATTTATTATCATTATCATTATTACTATTTTATTTTGATTAACTTCCTCTTTTAAAAGTTATTTTTGTGTTAGAGAAAAAAGGGGAACCTATAGTCCCAATGGAATCTACAACTTCTAATCACTTTTATATAAGTTAGATACACTATTATATATTGTAATACAAAACAAACTACAAATAGAAGTGAGAATGAGATTAGGTGTTAAGTATACGAAGATGAGATGACGAGTTTGCTTAGATATTCACGTATGTGTGATCTTACAGCAGTCACTGTGGTTGGTTAATACTCTGAATTGGCTGTAGGTATCAAAAAGCTGTTGTTATAGGAAGGAAATAAGGGTAACAACTAGGTGTGACGTGCAGATAAAAAGTAATACATAAGTACTATATAAGTGTAGTTAACAAAAGCAAGCAAGTTTAAAAGGTTTCAAAAGGAATGAACAAAGACTTGACCTTATACAGTAAGGCAGACAGTGCAACCCAGTACTGAAACTAATGAATGAAAGCATATTGCTTTGTACTAGAGTCGACTGACCACAATGGTCAGGTTTAAATAGTTTTATGATGATGGCTAAATTCGTAATAATCATTTATTAGTCATTAGTAACAGATGCACTGTCTGTGTTTTCTTATATAATATTTTTTACAATAATGATAATGTGATACCATCACATATACAATATTAGTTTGGAAAGATATAATACATGTATTATCAATAAATGTATATAAACAAATTTTACAACAAGGAATGACAAATTTTAATTTATAAGTCATTAATAATGTAATTATAAAGTATTGCCACTGAAGTAACAATACACTAACCTGTATCTGATTGTAGAAATTTGGGTATAATTTATGGAATTGTTTAGATTCTATTTCCATTTTTTTCAAATCATTATTACCATCATTTATAATTTTTAAAATATTTTCTCTTTCTTCAATTAAAATACGTTGCTCATCCAAACATTTTTTAATTTTATCATCTAACTGGAATAATAGTGAAATTTAACAATTGGATTGATTTTATTTAAATAGTTTTTCGTGAAGCATTTTTTTTTACTACGTACTTGTACAGCAATATCTTTAAGTAAGCAATCAATTTCAGTTTTCCTTATTTCATACTCTTTTTCCCAGTGTTCTTGTTGCGAATTCCACATATTTCGTGCTTCCTCTCTAATTCAACAAAACAAAACTTTATTTTAAAAATATAAATACATAAAGACTCAAAGCACTTAGAACTCACTCAAACAAAAAACCCATAAAGTGTAACTTATGTGATTCTTTATTTTCATATTGTTTAAGAATTTCTTGAATTTTTTTTATTTTTTCATCTACTACTATACCAATATTTGAGATAGAAATCAGATCAATAAGATTTATTAAGAATTTACTATCTTCTTGCATATACTGTAGCATTTTTTTTGACTTATGTTTTAACTCTGTTTGATACTGTTTAGTTAATTTTGTCCTAGATAAATAAAAAATAAATAATACCAATCTGAATACAAAAAATTCTTGCTTAATTTTTACTTATTTAATTGAAAAATTTTAAAATAACTTTTTACAAGGATATTGATCAATAGTGTATAAAATCTTGATATATATATATAATTTATTTGATAAATAAAAAAAACCCAGCACAGGGGGGTTGAGGCACAGTGGTGACATAGCATAGTTGGGTCAAGTATAATGATATCTCACACTGATTAAATTCACTATCATAAAAAACTCTTCGATGCAAATCTTTAGTGTTTAATTTTAAAAAATTGGTGGATTATTCCAAAGCAACATGATTTGCTATTTCCTTATTTATATACTGATTAAGATAAAGTATGTCGAATGAAAGAGGAATATAAATATTATTTCTCATAAAAAAATTGTATTGATCCATACACATTTCAATAAGTTATATCATTATAAAGTTAAAAATGTAAAATATAATATTGATAATTTTTTCACAAAAATAGCATTTAGTAACTATTTTCACCATGAAGACAAAATAAAGTCCGAAATTTTTTTTTCCATAATAAAGTATATTACATTATCTTTAATTTAAGATATATATAAAAGTGTCAGAGTATCCTGAACACTTTCAAAAGTTAAGTTGAAAATGTTTTACTTTCTATACGCATTTTTAAAGGTTTGAACCCCTATCAAATGATAGGTAAATACTTATGGTATCTATAAAAAAATATATATATTTATTTGGTTATTTTTAAAGTTATAGCAGTTTTAAGTAAAAAAAATTGAAAAAATGTTGACAATTAGCGATTTTTAAATTTGTAATTTTTTTGGAGGTTTCCCCTATTTACGGGGAACGAGGGAAATTTTTTTAATTTTTGAGGATAATGTCTTTGACTAGATACATGTTGTGATCTCTTGTGAAATCGGTTCGGTGAGAGCTTAAAAAAAATGGTAACAGATACAAAAAAAAAAAAACACATAATAGTAAAACCAATACTTCCTCAGCTTTGCATCGAAGCTAAAAAGGGGTTATTGTTTAAGAACATTAAAGTTATTTTTTTTATTCTTGAATAGATGAAATTATTTGACTGTCTAATATTGAGTTTAAAATGACTTGCATAAATAATAAAAGTTTAGAACTTTATTTTTGTTTTGGTTAAGTGATGGAAACACAGGAAATCTATTTTACAATTATTTTGAATAGTAAAATGTTGTTGAATAAACTGAAGCTTTTTAGAGACCTAACAAACTATAACAGGGAGCCTGCAGGCAAAATAATACCTCAAAGATTGAAAATTTAAGGTCTACCAAAAAAATGTTAATGTAATAATTATGATAAAAGACTTTTATTTAATATAATTCTATCAATTTATTTTCATTATCAAGTTATTTTATAATAGAATTCTTGATTATCCAGAATCAAAATATAATCCACAATTTACTCTTGCTAATAATATAGAATTACTCATAACCTTCAACACAATAGTTTGTCTATTTTAAAATAATAATTGAATATATTAATATCATAGTATCGCTTACCTCATTCTGTTTTCTAAAATATGTTCTTCTTGAATAATTCTCTCTTGTTTTATATTTTCAAACTTTTTTTGAAAATTTATATATGCATCTTCTTTTTTTTTTAACTCTTCATAACAAACAGAACTCACTCTAGGGTTAAAACAACAAGCACAATCAAAATTGTAATATATACAGAGTGGTCTGTGATATTTTAAGAAATCTAATAACTTTGGATCCAGTAAATATTTTATGTTACTTTTTAGCTTTAAAGTGTAGTTCAGAAGCCATTGGTTTTACTCTGCTGTTTTCTTTCTTTTTGTATCTGTATATACGATTACTCCCACTTTCATTGGACCAATTTTGTTCAATGTTGTGTCCCAAAAAATTACAGTTCTTTTAACAGTTAATATAGATATTTTAGGTTTAAGAACTGCCCAATTAATGAGATTTTAATTTTTATTGAAAATTTTCCTTGCTAACAACAAACTTTTTTTGAAAACTCAGTCATTAACTAAGATACTGTGGGGCTTAAAAATCATATCAACATTTTTTTGTCTTTTCAACTTTAATGTTCCAAAAAAACCTACATTGAAAAAAATTAAAACTAATACAATCTACTTTAGGATGAATAAAGAAAAACTATCTGAATTATTGATATCTAAATGTTATTGGGCATTAAAGTAAAAAATCATGACTTTTGGTAAAAGTAGCATATTTTGACATTTTTTTACTTAGCAACATTTAGAGTTTTAAGGTTTTTTGTGTACAATATAATTAAAAAATAAAGACATTTCAATGAATTGTCCTCTATAAGTAATATTCTATTTTTTTAAAGTTAAAAATTAAATTTTTGAAATGGTTTTGTACTATAAATTATGTATTTTATAACCAAGTAACCAGTTTCTAAAATGAAAAAAAAATATATTTGATATATATATAGTAAATAGTAAAACAGTTTAAGCCCATACTAAGTATTTGATATTGTTGGCCATAAATAACTGACCTTTTCTGACCTAAAATATTTATAAGAGGTATGAAAGTAGATGAATACTTTTTTTTCATACCTATCAAATACAAAGTAAAAGCGTTTTATGACAGTAATTTTAATCACCATTATATATTAATCAACAATAATTAAAAAATACTTTAACTCCACTTTGCTGGATCCCTACTGTACATAACTTTTTTTTAAATGGATTCTACAGTTCTAGACTATGTTAAATGCATATTTTGTATTATTTGTATTTAATAAGAAAAAATTGTTTTTTTTTTTCAAAACGTTAAATAGCCATTCTAAGCCCCTTTCTTATAAAAAAAATTTAATTTAAATTAATTTAAGTAAAAATTTACCTAAAGAAACAAAAAAAATCATATTATTATTTTTATTTTTGAATTAATTAAAGTGGTTAATGATAAATAAATAACACAAGTAATATAAATTATGCTTTTTAAGAAAAGCAAAGGTGGAATACAGAAACATCAATAAAAGCTATACCCACCAGTGCTACATATCCATTCTATGTTTAAAATGATAGTAACTTAATAAATACATAAAGTTATTAAAGGACCAACAAAATTGTTTGTATGAGCTAAAAAATGTCTACTTAAAAAAAATTTGTTGTTTTATTTTTTTTATTTAAGACAAATAATAAAAAATATTCTTTTAACATACTTCAAAACTATAAAAATTAATTTAAAAAAAGTAAAGCAAAATATTTGCTAAATCAAGTTATTAGAATTATCAAAACATCATGGAAAACCTTGTATAAAAAATTATAATTTTTTAGAGACAAGTTTACATTGCTAAGACATTATTTTTTCTATACCCCCAAGGTTTTATTATCAAAATATTATAATTAATTATATAATATAATTAAAATATACTATCTACAAAATTGTTTTTATTAAAATATAAAAAAAGTTATTGTTGAAATGTCGTTTGAAAACAAAAATCTTTTGAAAAAAAAAAGTCAAGACTTATTATAAAAATATATAAGAATGAAATTAAAAAATCCAAGCACTAAAAAGTAAGAAGAATTCTTATCTTTCTACTTTCTTGTGGCATGGGTACTTTTGGGAAAAATTTAATATAAATGTTGATTGATCTTTTAATATAGTACTATCAGTATAGTAGTTTAATATAGTACTTATAATACATAACGTAGCCAACATTTCTGGCACATCTTCTATATTCTTTAATTACATACGAATAAAATTTTTTAGAAAATTAAATTTTACATTGTTGTTAAAAACATAAAATAAGCTTTTAAAATACTATAAGTTATTTAAGGAGTTCACTTTTTACCAGTATAATCTTTGTAACTAGTCACAAGTCTTTGAACACAAAACTTTTAAATCAATATAAATTAATTATTTCATAGTAATTGCTCTTTAAATAGTCCAATATATTATTTCTAGAACGCTTAAAGATACAGGAAACTTTCTCTAAAAAAGTCCAATATCTAATTTTATTTTAAAGCCAATTATACTTTTTATTCAGTAGGATGTAGTTCCTACCAACAAGTTCAAAATAGAAAAGTGAAAAATGATCCTTTCTTCAATACTGCCCCGATAGATCGTAAGGAATCTCAAACCTAAACTCTTTTGACTTTCAGAAGATTAGTTGAAAGATTCTCTTGCCTCAAAACATCTAAGCATAATTAATTAGGTAGCCTCAAGAGACAACAGTGGTAAAAATTCCTTTAAAGTTAATACAAAAAGATTACTTCATTTTATGATGGCAGAAAAAGGATTATTTGAATAAGTCATGCGTAATTTAAAAGTAAATTTTATGTTCCTTTTAACAATGTAAAATTGAAATTTTAATTATGTTTTATTTGCGAGTTATTAAGAATATAACTTATGATAGAATTTATGATTTGACTGTATAAATATTAACTTGAGATACCATAATAAAATGTCAAAATATAAAAATTAGACTCATTATAAAAATGTCTTCAATATTTCAGTAAATAATATAAGCTTTATAAAAACTAACTGGAGTTCAGCAACTTTATCTACAAGATCATTCTTAATTTGTGACATTAAATTTTGTCTATTTTGATGATTTTTTTCTTCTTCTAGTCGTTCTTTAATTAATTCTTCATGAAATTGTTGTTGTTTGGTAAGTAATTTTTCTTGTTCTTTTTGCCTTGCGAGCAATTTTTTTTGTATTTGATCATCCCATGCAGATTTTGATGAACACTGAAGTATTCTATTTTCATTCTACAAAATATCAGTATAATTTACTAATTACCCAAATAAAAATAGACTTAATTTATTGATCTTGATTGTATAAAATATTGTTAAAAAAAACAAGAATATTGAGTTAAGATAAATCAAACAAGTGTAAGTGTTATACTACCACTATTAAAACAAGTATAAATCAATCAAATTTTAATAAGTTAATAGTAAATTAAAAAAAATTAAATTACAACTGATATATTGNATCAATCAAATTTTAATAAGTTAATAGTAAATTAAAAAAAATTAAATTACAACTGATATATTGATAAAACTTTAATAATATCCTAGAATTTCATTTTATTTTATCTAGATGAGAGTTATATCATTTTTTAAAGGAAAGCTGAATAATTATATTGTATACTATTAATATTTAAAAATATTTTCTTTATTTAAATAATATTATCTATTTATATCAGTATTAGCACAAACCCAAGATGACAGTGTTTTTAGGATTTTATCCAAAAAAACCCAAAAATCTATTAGATTTTGTATCAACTAATTTCCTGGGAAATTTTATTACAATTTTAGAAAAAAAATGGCTTTAAAAATAGTTAATTTTATGGTATAAACAATAATTCTTTATATATATATAATTTTTTTTTATTAGCCTAAATATCTTTATATTGACAGACATAAAAAAAAAAATAAACATATCATAATAATACCAATTAGCTCTGCATTAGAGTTAAAATATTGTATGGTTTTAGCATAAATAAGCCCTCTGGATTTTTTTGCAAATCCTTATTTATAATAATTGAAAAATAAGCAAATATTTTACCTCTTTAGATACAGTATTACATTTATTTATCTGGGCGTATTGTTTTAATTCCATTTCTCTACTTTTTATTGCATCTTGTTTAAGATGCAACTCTTTAGCCATATCTTCATTTGGAATTTTTTGTATTGAAGAATGTGGTTTTGATAGGCAAATAGGTTTTTTTTTCATTTGTTCTTTCTACAAAATTTGTTTCAAGTTTATAGACTAATAGAACTAAATTAAATTAAATAAAAAATTTTCCTATTGAGATGCCTGAAATCAGCATTGTAACTAATAATTTTTTTTGTTACTAAAAAAAAAACCCAGCACAGTGGGTTCAAGTCACAGAGGGAACATGGCATAATTGGGTCCAATATAGATTTAATCTGACAGTGATTAAAATCACTATTATAAGAAACACTTTGATGCAAATCTGTAGATGATGTTTAATTTTAAGAAATTGGTGGATAATTACAAAAGCAACATTAACTTCTATTTCCTTAGTTATATACAGATTAGTAATTCTTAGATTCAAAAATATAATATATAATTTTTATGATTAATTGTTTTCAAATTATTATTAGCTTCGATGCGAAGCTGAGAAGGTATTATTTTACTAAGATGTTTTTTTTTTTTTGTGTCTGTTACCACTTTTTCTCAGCTCTCACCGAACCGATTTCTTTCAACGATATGTCAAAAGATCACAAATCATATCTAGTCGAAGACATTACCCTCAAAAATTGAAAAAAATTCCCTCNCAAATCGTATCTAGTCGAAGACATTACCCTTAAAAATTGAAAAAAATTCCCTCGTTCCCCGTAAATGGGGGAAACCTCCAAAAAAATTACAAATTTAAAAATCGCTAATTTTCAACATTTTTTCAATTTTTTTTTACTTAAAACTGCTATATCTTTAAAAATAACCAAATCAATATAATTTTTTTTTATATAGATGCATTACATTATTACTTTTCATTTGGTATATTTTTTTTTATATATGACCCATTACTTGCCCACAGGGGAGGATTTAANAAATTTAACCCTTAACCTGCCCACAAGGGGGGATTTAAAATGACAACTTTCTCACAAAAAATTAATTTTTTTAACTTAAATTTTGAAAATGTTCCAGAAAGTCTGACACTTTTATATATATTTTAAATTAAAGGTAATGTAATATACTTTATTATAGAAAAAAAATTTGACCTCTGTACTTGTCTTCGTGGTGAAAATTTATTTTTTTATTTTTTTATGTCTGTTGCCACTTTTTCTCAGCTCTCACTGGACCGATTTCTTTCAAAAATACGTCAAAAGATCACAAATCGTATCTAGTTGAAGACATTACCCTTAAAAATTGAAAAAAATTCCCTCGTTCCCCGCAAATGGGGGAAATATCCAAAAAAATTACAAATTTAAAAATCGCTAATTTTCGAAATTTTTTCACTTTTTTTTCTTAAAACTTCCATAACTTTTTGAAAAATCAACAAATCAACATAATTTTTTTTTATACTAAAACCTTA